TGCAAGTTTATCGTCTGGCCATATAGCATCTTTCCTACGTGTTAGCCAAGACTTACAAGGTAGAATTTCCTACCATGTTAACATGCGTAAGGACAAAGTAACCCTTTAAAGCAACTTTTTACAAGCTTCAACAAGGCAACACTTCTCATCAAATAGCTTCAATTCATAAGGCAAAAGGCCTTCTAATGAGGTCCTTCGATTCAGGAGGCCAAAGCCTCTCTTCTGCCCTCTTTCGATTACACATATTTCCTCCTCCAGGCCTTCTTCGTTTGGGGCAATGGCCTTCCCAGTATTGAAAGCTTCGATTGAGCCTTTCATCCTCTGCATGCATCCTTTGTTTGGGGTGTGTAAATCCTTCAGCACAAACTCTTAGTCATGCCTTTCATTTAGGCATGTGGCTCCCTCTTTACAAACTTTCGTTTGAACATGTTTGCATAAGGTCACAAGGCAGGTACCTCCTGCATACACATTTCGTTTGGCCACATGGACCCTTTGTAGACAAGTTTGAGTGGGCAGTATCCCCTTGGAAATGACTTGCTTCAACACACAAATTCTACACTGTGCCTTTTTGTCTCATGCGAAAGAAGTACCATGGTGGTGCATTCGAAGGGCTTTCCAGGCATGTCTGGATGTCCCAATCGAATGACATGTTTTGTTGACCCATCCCAAGAGCATATATTTGAACCATTCGAAGGAACCCATGAAGGGCCTGGTCAAAAGACACTTATTTGGCCCCTTCAAAGGATATCCACATAAGCCATTCGAATGACACTTCGATTTGAAAAAGAAATGGTTATTAAAGAGTCTGGTCGAAAAACAAGACTAAGGGGTTAGGACAAAAGGTTGAGATGCCAAAGGTATTTGTTGACCAAGTCTCATGCGCTGCCAGGTTCAGGCCTGATTCACTAGCCATAAAACTCTAAAACTGCTGCACAACAGTCCTGCAACGCTACCTTATTCCTTGCACCAAAATAGCATAAAAACATTGTCCTTCAAAAGCTACAAATAAAGCATACCCTTTTTGTTTGAACCTTTTGTTTTCCCTCCTAAAACATCAGCCCAGACCATCAATAAATAGGAGACATCACCATACATGTTAGGGGAGCCTGAAGGATTGCAAGAAAACACTTGTGAAAATTCTCAAAAATTCTCAAACACTTCCCAACATTATTTTTCAAACACTTCTATACACTAAGTAAGAACTTTCGATTCACCCTCCAAGTGACCATCAAACTACCCTTTGACCCACTTCCCCCACTACCATACAGTAGGCCTTTAAGTCATCGCATCCCTTGTTATAAAAGAGCCTTCGATCCACACACACAACCTCTTTCAATTCAGTCACTGCTTTCACAAAGTGGTAACTGGATTAGCCTTAGGAAGGTCCCAACGAACTCCCATTCTCCATCAAAGAAAGCACTTGCATTTCCCTTCGATTTAAGAACTTCAAGAGGTAAGTTTCCTTCAAGCTTGAGTCTATTCTATTTTAATATTATATGCACATACCAATAAGGAAAATGTAGATATTTAATATAGGGAGCTAGATAATGTTTTAGCTTTCGATTCTGATTGCCCATATGCTGAAAACTCAACTCTGATTAGTTAGGCTTTGGACTTTGAGACCCATTGGTTTTTGTGCTTACCCATGGATTGTAGTTACATTTGAATGTTGCATTTTAAGAATTTAAGACAGGTTTATTATGCCCTTCAATTGGCTAGCTGCACAAGCCTTTCGAATCATAATATGAGGTCCCATCATGCTTACAGTCGAAGGAATCAGCAAGGAGCCTATGGCAAAGCATGAACCTTGCTGACTCCAGGCCTCAAACGAAGGAATGAACCTTGCTGCCTCCAGGCCTCAAACGAAGGCCAGAACTTTGTTGTCTCCGAGTCTCAAGCAAAGGACAGAACCATGCTAATTTCCAGGCCCAAACGAAAGGCACGCCTACACTGATTCCATCCCCCAGTCGAAGGAGACAGAAAGGAAAATCGAAGGGCATGACTCCACTAACTCCAGGCCCCAAATCGAAGGAAGCCAAAAAAAATGCAGAATCGAACGGTGTTTCTGCCTAATCAAAAGACCCATTTTTATTGCTTTTATTTTATTTTTGCCTTTATATTTTCATGATATTCAATATGATTATAATAATGTAGGATTTTATCTTCTTGCATTTTATTATTTTTGTATAAATGCTAGTAACTAGGATGTATGGCAAGATAAAAACAACAAGTAGATAAACCAAAAGTTCAAAAGACAAAATGTATGCAATCAAACACACTACTCACACACATGCACCCTTAGGGTAATTCCACTTGTTGCCTCGGAAAAATAGTCATGTCCTTCGAATATGGGCATTTTAGTAAAGACCCTTGATAAAAGATCGTAGTCCCTCGATGATCCTTAATGTTGCCTTTGGTAAATGATTTAGTCCCTAAACGACATTGCTAAAACGTCCCATAGGTTGCCTTCTATGACTATACAAACGTCCCACGCCCGTCCCTTCACATCCAATAATGGGGCTTCTTACCTAATCAGTGGTAAGATAGCAACATCTAAAGGAGGAGGAAAAGAACATTTAAGACCTTTTGAGTAGGTAGGTTGCTCCTAGTTGCTCGCTTGCTCACAACAAAAACATTTTATACACCAACACTTTCATTTGAAACATTTTCAAAAGACAAAACACTTTGTACGCGTTCTTATAGAGACGATAACCATTACAAAGACATTCCTTTTCAAAATACTTTCAAAACCCACACCACAAACACATTTTCAAACAAAAAAAGCAAGTAATCTAGCAAGCAACTAAGAGCCCGTAGATAACTAAAGATGAAAAGGGTGCTAACACCTTCCCTTTTCATAAGCTACCCCCCGAACTCAAGAAATAATCTTGAAATGTCTTTCCTGTTCTTTTCAACCTTTCCTTTTGGATAAAAGAAAAGTCGGCGGAGACTCTTGCTATCCGCAACAATTATGATCAAACGTAAAACACCCAAGTCAATTCTCCCACCGTGTTACAATAGGCAACCGACAGACCTCATCTGGATAGATACACATCTTCCAGTTAATAATAAGAAACCAACAGGCCTCTTCTGGTTAGAATTATTTCCCCAGTGATGTCACCAAACACAAGACCTCTTCTATTTAGATTTACTTCTTCCAGTTAAAGACAGGTGAAGGACATCTGTTGTTTCAGTATAAATCGACCAAAGATTTATTTTGATACTTCTCCCAGATAAAGATTTGAAGACATCTGTTGGCTCAGATTAAATCGACCAAAGATTTATTCTGATACTTCTCTCAGTAGACTTTTTCTGGCTCAGATTAAATCGGCCAAAGATTTATTCTGACATTTCTCCTAGCTGAAGTCAAGCATTAGACTTAGTCTAGTTTCTCTATCAACAGTCACTTCTGAATGGCATCTATAAGCCCATCTCCGACAATATTCCGTCACTTTCCAAATGGCATCTATAAGCCCATTCTCGATACAATAAATCCAAAATGTTGCTTCTTTCATAAGCGAGTGCAAATTTATGGGCACTCTAGTGTTCAATCATCTTCCACCTTCAAGTCACGAATGGAAGACATGTCAATCTAACTCTTCAGGTTTAAGAAGATTGAACAGGGGAAGCTGTTGTACCCCAAAATTTTCTCTCCCATTTTCATTCAAGATATTCTTCTAGGGTTTCTCAAATGCTCAAGATGGCTCAGAAGTTGATCAGACAGATTCTCCTCCTAAGCATTGAGTCCACGACTAGGGTTTGGTACTTCTCAGGCAAAATTGAGTTTCCAAGGTTTCAAATGGTCTTCATGGTTCTTCATGTATTCTCAAGGATGATAGTTCCAAGTCTCAAGCTTCGCATCGCAAGTTTTCTCATTCAATGGTCCAGATGATTGAAACTCAACTGCATTGACCCAAAAGTCGACCTTTTCAAGATCAAGTTCAAACGATTGTAATTTCTTCATTATTAGATGTTTTTGGGTGTTTCTTTTTGCGTATGACTCTCCTTGAAATCATCTCCAATTTCTCTTTACAAGTCAAGAGTTGATTACGTGCGAAAGATTATCTAAAATTCGATTTCTTTAGAGGAATGTCATCCATAAACTTCTTTAAAGATCGGAGTCAAATTATGCTTTGAAGGCTATGGAATTTATTGAAAAAAATATAGGTCTTTGAAAAATTCTTAATTTCTAATTCATATCATGATGAGATTTTTCAAAGCGCCATTTGATTATGTGAATTGAAGTACAAGTGCAAAAAGCGCAGAGATATAACATGGGGTTGAGGATTATTAAAATTATTATTTGTTTGCAAGATGACTTAAATTTGATATTTGAATCAAGAATGGATTTGTTGTTTTGAAATTTTCTTTCAAGTACCCAACGCCATAAAATTAAATATTCAAGTTTGTCAATTAAATTGCAAGACCGATTCAAGAAGATTTATGAACTTGGAATAAAATGCACCCCAATTTCTAGAGAATTATTTCAAGAGTGCAAGAACAAAATCCATTAAGATCAATTTCACTTGTTTCTTAAAAATTGCAAGAACAAAGTTCAAGATTTTTTTTTACTTGCATTACAATTTAAGATGATTCAAGAATGCAATATTACAACAAAGCTTCATTGTTTAAATTTACAAGTGAACTGGAATTCATTGTTTAAATTTACAAGTGAAATGGAATACACTTTACAAGTTTCTAAACCTCAAGGTTCAAATCACAAATTCGCAATGTTACAAAATTCCTAACAAATGTACTAAACTACAAAGGAATTTCTTCATCTTCAAGTCTTCATCAAGCATTTCAAGTCACTCTTCATCAATTCTCCCTATTGTCCAATTTGCTTGTACATGTAACAAAAAAGATAGAATTAGTTAGCAAATAATTCATGTTGGAACAAGAATAGAAATTTTCAAAGAATTTTCTTTCTCATCATTAGGGTTTGCTCGAAAGAATCAACACACGGTTTAGGGAATTCATCATTTACCAAAGCCCAACAAATGCCTCATTTATCTTTGCCAATCAGTTTTATATCATTGGACCAAAAATGTCTTCATTGCAAATTAGAAAAATATATTTTGGTTCACAAAGAAAATAACCCATTGTCAAGAAAAATCAGCCTGCATTACTGTAAAAAAGGGACAAACACAAGAGGCCAAAATACTGTCAAAACAGTTTGCATTAAAACAGTCCAAAAAACTGCATTGCTGCTCTGTAAAAGCTATACCAAGACAGTCCAAAGATGACACACAAATAAGCAAAACCAAAACTGCATTAAAAAAGCAGTGAGACAGCATAGCACAAGTGATCAAAACTCATCTTTTCCCCCAAAAAATATTATCTTTTTGCTGTTATAAAACACACGGAACAAAATTCACAGGGGGGAACAAAAAAAAGATCAGAGAGAGACTGATACACAAAGAAAAATCATCATAACAACCCAACTTGTGTTCATCATTTTCCCTCACACAATCCTTCAGAAAGAAATTAAAAGAGAGAAAAGTTACACAGAAAAGAAACTTCCTTGTCAAAACCTTCATCACCAAATCCGCGACCTATCACCACTATTTACAAATCAAAACTGTGGCACACCTTCAATCATACACTCATCTGGATCATCTTCCTTTCCATCAATTTCTCAACAAAACCGAATCTCTGGCAGGGTAATGACTACTCAGAAACGTAAATAGAAACACGGATAGAAGCCCAAACAAATCGTAGGAACAGGAAATTAGAAAGGAATAGAAGTAAGGTAGAAAAGAAGTTATCGGGGAAGATCTTCACCTCTGAGAACATTCGGAGTAGGTATTATTTCCGAATTCTTTAACTATATTTGCTTTAATATGCCTATCTATGTTCAATTTTGTTTTAGCATCCGTGATTCAGTATAAAACCATTGATTGCTTTGTGTATATTTTCATTTTCTTTACTCATGCAAGAAAACCTGAACACGGTGGAAAGAAACAAAATGAGGTGAGCATAAATGGAGAGGAAGTGTTAAATTAAAAAAGATGTTTAGAAAATTCACTAAAAAAAATCTTCACAACCATACTTAACCTCCACCAACGGTAACAAGGCTCTTCCTGCACCAACAAAAAAATTTCTAGAGCTCCCTACAACTAGTGCCACTGTGCAGAAATCAGATGTTACTCCCGATATTGTTGAGACCTTACAGAAACCCGAAGCTACTCCTCCTGACGTTATCTCCGATACTGAAGTAGAAGCAGCAACAAAACCTGCTCCGGAAATAAATTCAGTCCCAAAAACTAAAATTATGGCAGAATCAATTCTTGCGCAACCTAAGCCGCTTCTCCTCCCATTCGGAAATCTCCCCGCCATTGCATCTCTTCATCTTCCTATTATGTCCAATCCATAGCTCGCAAAATCATCACCAACTTTCCTCCCTTTCGGCGCCGGATCGGAACCAGAACCTCAACGTGCCTGTCAGATGGATTCTTCACTGGCAACCGAGTCAAGGATCGCTAGTAAACAACCACATACTGAACAAAATCTCACAATGCATCGACAGTTTCAGCGGCGTCAAAAGAGGAAGATGAAGGTTGTAGTTGTAGTGTGAAGGTTGAAATTTCAGAGAGGTTGCAATAAGGATGAATGTCAGGGAAGATGAAGGTGACTCAGTGATAGGGTGTTTTAAATTTATTTCATGATAATCATAAGAGTTTACCAAGAATAATATTAAATCTGAATGTCCCTTCCCAAGAAACAACCAAACGGCGCTGGTTTTGCTCTAGGGTTTTCCAAATATTTCCTTGCCTCTTCCCTCAAACCAGGTCCGGTCTGACCCAATTAACTGAATATATATTTTGTTTTGTTTTTTATTTTGTACCACCTTTGGGCTCTAATCCTGAAGCCCAGTCTATTTTTTTCACACCCCCATTTTTTCAGTTTCATATTTCTTCTTTTTAATTTAGTTTGTATTTAAATTAGTTTATATTTTATTTAAAAAACTTTAGAGTTAATTTAGATTATATTTAATTTAGTATTTTATAATTAACTTGGTTTAGGTTTAATTTAGTAACTTAGAATTTTAAGTTTCGTTTAGAATTATTTTAATAACTTTATTTAGTTTAGATTTAATTTTATTAATCTTTAGTTTTAATTTTAAAATTCAATTAAGTAAAAAAATATAAATTTCAAAATTAGTTAATTTTCTTAATTAGTTTAGTTTAGGACTTTGTGAATACTTTTATTAATATTTTTTTACCGTTTAGTTAACTTTCTTTCAAATTATTTAGATTCTACATGATGAAATTCAAAAAATAATAGAATAGAATCTTTATTCTTTCCAATTTTTTTTACAAACATAAAATACCAAAAATATTATAGTGTTATTTATTTTGCTAATTATTTTTATTTTATAGATTGTTTTAGTTTAAATATTTGTTCATTTTTAATTCGATTGGGTTGTATTGCTTGTTTATTTAGACTTTTAATCGCATTGTCAATTCAATCCATCCCCATTTGTAAATTTGAATCCCCCATCCCTGAAAGCTCTGTAATAGCGTAGAGTTTTAATTTCCGCAATTTAATTTTTTTCCTTTATATATTGTAGAGTAATTAGGAGTGTATGGTAAGACATAAAATCAACTGCTAGACAACCCTAATCAAGACAAATTAATTTGAATCAATCACTTTTCGCACACGCGCACCTCTAGGTTTAACCTCGCTTGTTGCCTTCAGAAAATACAGTCATGCCCCTCGAATGTGGGACGCTTTAGAAAAGACCCTCGATAAAAAAGATCATAATCCCTCAATGACCCTTCGATGTTGCCTTCAGTAAAATTATCTTAGTCCCTCACGACAATTGCTAAAGCGTCTCATAGGTTACCTTCTATGAGTATACGATGACCCACGCATGTCCCTTCATATCTAATGATGGGGCTTCTTACCAATCAATGGTAAGATAGCAACATCTAAAGGAGGAGGAAAAGAACAAAGACCCTTTTGAGTTGGTAGAACGTTCGTAGTTGCTTGCTCGTAACATTTTCAAAACAACATTTCAAACACACTAACACTTTCAAAAATGAAATATTTTTAAAAAGTCAACACTTTGCATACATTCTTATAGAGACGAGAATCATTACAAAGTTCACCTAAACGAAAGCACTTTCAAAAAATACTTCCAAGCAAATCACAAACACATTTCAAATAAAGTGTTTTCAAAGTAAGCTAGCAACTAAGAGCCCGTAGATAACTACGGATGAAAAGGGTGCTAACACATTCCCTTTTCATAACCTACCCCCCGAACTCAAGAAAATTATCAAAAGGTATTTCCTGTTCTTTTCACCCTTTCCTCTATTGGATAAAAGAAAAGTCGGTGGCGACTCTTGCTATCCGCAACAATTGTGATAAAATACAAAACACCCAAGTTAGTTCTCCCACCGTATTACAGTAAGGTACGATGCACTTAAGTGAATTGTTGAACATCGTAAGGTACGATACACTTAAGTGAAATATGGAATATGGTAAGGTACCACACACTTAAGTGATATGCGGTATATCATAAGGTATCATACCCGTAGGCTTAATTGGGCTTTTAGCTTGGAATCTTAATTAGGCTTTTAGCTTGCAGCCTATATAAGTGGTTATATAATTAGAACCCTTGTGCTGAAGCATTTCACTTAATGAAATTCCAGTCTTGAAACCCTAGTCGTATCTTGTCTTACTCTCTTACTCAAAGTTTCTGTTCATAAGCAGCTAACACTGTGATCGGAAGCGATCTGTTCGTGTGGACTGAGTAGAGATGTTGTTATTCATCAACGTTCATGATCACGACATCAAAGGTCTGAATCACCACAAGAGATAATGATTTCTATCACTGACCATGCCCATTCGTAAGGATCACTAAAGAAAAATTTTAATTTTCTGCTGCATTTTGGATCACAATTTTCCTTCAGCCTACGCCGAGGGGAGCTCTTCTCAAGAAGTCGAGCTGAAGAAGTTATGGGCCAAACAGGCCACGATTGAGAAGGAGCGGAGCAATGGGGAGAAAGCCTGGAAGTTGGCCGAGGAGGATCTAAGGAAGCTATCAGAGGAGTGCAAGGTCTGGTTACTTGGAAAGAAGGTTCTAGAGGAGAGGGTGGCAATTCTGACTACTGAGTATGTTCCCGTTAAAGATGAGCTGGAGGATACAAAGGTCATGAAGACCCGAGCTGAGCTGGTTACTCTTTTTCAACTAGTGGTGGATGACGCTCAGGCTGCCTCTGAGGGTAGCTTCGAAAATACACTGAAGCAGCTTCGTGTCTTGAATCTTGGGGTCGAGCTTAATACCTCTGGGATGGGGGTTAATCATGATGTGGCTTCCAGAAAGATCTTGGTCCCTGACTACCTCGAGGAGCTCGCTGCCCAGCCCACAAGGGGACCCTCTCATCTATCGCTCATTGTCGAGGAAGGGACTGAAGAGTGATGTTTGATAGTTTTCTCATTCTGCTTTGGCCCGCATGCCATAATTTTGTATTCTTGTTTTCCGAGCTTTTGCCCGTTTATGTAAGTTCTGAACAAGCGTGGTTTTACTGGCCATAAAATTGTTCTTTTGGATGGGGGGCTAAAGGCATTCCTTATTATAATATTTGTATGATATCGTCCCTGGCGGTTGTTTCTTTAATTTTTCGACCATGGTGGCCGTTTGTTCCAAATATTTGAGTATTTTTTGCATGTTTATTGTTATGCTCGTTTGCTTGAGACATTTTTTATTTTGCTAAGAATTTATAGCAGAGATTTTCTCATTTTATTAGTATGTTCACCAGTGTGGGGAAATTGGACAAACGGATAGGGTGAATACCGGGCATGGGCCAGAAATTAGGTCTCGTTTTGAGGTGGGAACGTTCCCGAGGTGGGTGATCTCGAAGTATCCGTCTGGAATGGATCATACGAGATCTGAGAGTTCCTTGCTATTTACGGCTAGGGATGAACCTTCTCCTTCTACCATGGGCTCTTTCTCTTTCTTCCTCTACTCCGCGTCATCCTCCTTGGAGAAGCGGCTATCAAGGTCGATGGCGCCAACCCTTGGTCGTGGCTTGGCCTCCTCGGAGCTCGAGGGCAGTGCGGCCCCAATGGTCATTTGGGTTGAGTGTTGATGGAACTCAGGCCCCTGGCTGAGGCTTCAAAACATCTTCTTGCCGCCTGGACGTCTCCGTGGAGGGTGGCGACCAAACCCTATGCAATGTAATATTTCATTTTTAGGTGTACAGTGGAGGGCATCGGGATCAGTTCGGCCATAGTGGGCCTCCCAAAGATACATTGATAGAGAGAAGGACAATCCACTATGTTGTACCCCAAAATTTTCCCTCTCATGTTCCTCAAAACATTTCAAGAAAAATCTCCAAGTGGCTCAAGATTGCTCAAGAGTTGGTCAGACAAGTCATCTCCTAAGACAGTCAACCCCAAATTAGGGTTTTGTGTTGAATCAAGATCCTTGTATCCAAATGACCTCAAGTGCTCCCCAATGTCCTAATATGTCATCAAGATCATCCATGCCAAATTTCAAGCCTTGAAGAGGAAGTTTGCTCAGTCAATTGCTCAAAGGGCCCAAAAATCGATTGTGCTAGGGCAAAAGTCAACTGTGACCCAAATACATCCAAATTTCAATATTTTTTGTCAAAATTCTCATTTTGAAGGATATTTCATCATTTGATCAAGGGTTGATCATGATTCATCAAGGATTGCTCAAAATTCATCAGACTCAAAAGTTGCTAAATTAGGGTTTTTTAGGAAAGGTCAACTCAACTTTTACCAAGCATAACTTTCTCATGCTTTATGATAAATGACCCATACAAATCTCATTTTGAAGAGGATGCAATTTCCTACAATCCATGTTTATACCCCAAGATCAAAAAATGCACTCACAAGAAGTTACAAATTTGGACATTATAGGTCATTTTGAAAGTCAACAAAAACACCTTTTTTGCCAAAGCTTATAACTTGAGCATGGAATATCAAAATGAGATGAGACCAAAAGGGTTGGTTAGAGGACATCTCAAGCTTTCTAAAAATTCCAATAACACCTCCAAAAGTTAAAAATTGAAGAAGATATGCATTGTTGAAGTTGGACATTTTTGCAAAATTGCCAAAAGTCAACTATCCCCAAAACTTCAAATTTTGTCAAATGGGCCCATTCTTTTCCACTTTATTTGAGCTTTCATCATTGTCCACGTGCCTCAGCATCAGCCATGTGTCCATTTATCAATTTTATTATTTAATTTGATTTTTATTTGAATTTATTCATTTTTAATCAAATTAAATCAAATAAAATCCAAAACTTTGATTACATGAGATTTTTTTGTTATTTCAGGCTTTGATTGCAATCTTTAACACCATCA